CTCAGTCTCTTCTTGTGTATTATGGTCTTTCGTCTGGAATTGGCGGTCAGTTCGGTAGCAATGGTCTGGTTGCCATCGGCCTCTTCAGTAGCAGTGTAGTCATCGGCGTGGTCTTGGTCAAGTAATGGGTTACACTCTGCTTCTTTGCCAGGGAGGTCAGTGCAACTTCCCTCTGAAGTCTCAGTGGTGGGGCGCTTCCCAGAATCCTCAGCGTTACTCTCCATTTGGTCATCATTGTCTTCTGACTTTACCATCTCATCTGCTTCTAGCTGGATTATACCTGTAGTTGTCTTACCTTCCGTTATGTTAGTTTCAATATCTTTATCTATAGAAATAAGGACAACATATTTTTTGTAAGATGAAGTTCACCCGATACCACCAATTCAGTAAACATACAGTGCCTTGAAAAAGTATTCATCCCCCTTGAAATTTTCCACATTTTGTCATGTTACACTCAAAAACAAACTTATTTTATTGGGATTTGATGTGATAGACCAAACTCAAAGTGGCACATAATTGTGAAGTGGAAGGAAAATGATAAATGATTTTCAAAATGTTTCACAAATAAATATCTCAAGTGTGGCGTGCATTTGTAATCAGCCCGCTTTACTCTGATACCTCTAACTAAAATCTAGTGGAACTAATTGCCTTCAGAAGTCACCTACTTAGTAAACAGAGTCCACCTGTGTGTAATTTAATATCAGTATAAATTCAGCTGTTCTATGAAGCCCTCAGAAGTTTGTTAGAGAATATTAGTGAACAAACAGGATCATGAAAGCCAAGGAACACACCAGACAGGTCAGGGATAAAGTTGTGGTTTATAGAAAAAAAAAAAAATATCCCAAGCTTTGAACATCTCACAGAGCACTGTTCAAGCCATCATACAAAAATGGAAAAAGAGTACGACACAACTGCAAACCTACCAAGACATGGCCGCCCATCTAAACTGACAGGCCGGGCAAGGAAAGCATTAAATCAGAGAAGCAGCCAAGAGGCCCATGGGAACTCTGGAGGAGCTGCAGAGATCCACAGCTCAGGTGGGAGAATCTGTCCACAGGACAACTATTAGTCGTGCATTCCACAAATCTGACCTTTATGGAAGAGTGGCAAGAAGAAAGCCATTGTTGAAAGAAAGCCATAAGAAGTTACATTTGCAGTTTGTGAGAAGCCATGTAGGAGACACAGCAAACATGGAAGAAGGGCTCTGGTCAGATGAAACCAAATTTTAACTTTTTGGTCTAAAAGTAAAATGCTATGTGTGGCGGAAAACTAACACTGCACATCACCCTGAACACACCATCCCCACCGTGAAACATGGTGGTGGCAGCATCATGTCGTGGAGATGCTTTTCTTCAGCAGGAACAGGAAGCTGTTCAGAGTTGATGGGAAGATGGATGAAGCCAAATACATGGCAATCGTAGAAGAAAACCTGTTGTAGTCTGCAAAAGACTTGAGACCGGGGCGGAAGTTCACCTTCCAGCAGGACAACGACCCGAAACATCCAGCCAGAGCTACAATGGAATGGTTTAGATCAAAGCATATTCATGTGTTAGAATGGCCCAATCACAGTCCAGACCTAATTCCAATGGAGAATCAGTGGCAAGATTTGAAAATTGCTGTTCACAGATGCTCTCCATCCAATCTGACAGAGCTTGGGATTCGGCAATGAAAGATGGGCAAAAATTTAATTCTAGATGTGCAAAGCTGGGAGAGACACCCCCAAAAAAACTTGCAGCTGGAATTGCAGCCAAAAGGGGGTCCTACAAAGTATTGACTCCGGGGGGGCTGAGTACGAATGCCGCCACACTTTTTAGATATTTAATTTGTAAAAAATGTTGAAAACCATTTATCATTTTCTTCCTTCCACTTCACAATTATGTGCCACTTTGTGTTGGTCTATCACATAAAATCCCAATACAGTACATTTACATTTTTGGTTGTAACATGACAAAATGGGGAAAATTTCAAGGGGTGTTAATATTTTTTCAAGGCACTGTAGACAAATTATCAGATATAGGTTATTCAAGTTAAAGCCTTAACGCAGATATTGGATCATGTTACACCCATATCTAGGGCATTGCCTATTAAATAATTATATTTATCTTTTTTTTTGTAACAAATTTATTCTTTATTTTTTACAATTTTTTTGGGAGTCCTGTTGGGGGGCATTGGTTAGAGAACAGGGGTCTAAAACAGACATCTGATGTTTCACCTTTGAGACAGAGAAAGCAGATTGAGGGCGGTGTCCTCAATCTCTATGAATGTACAGAATAGCTCTGCACAGAGCTTCCCAATCATTCAAGTTAGCGATCACTCACTGTGTCCATTCAGAAATTGAAGGGGCAGGTAAGTGACGTATTTACCAGCCCCTTCCCCCACTCTCCATCCTGAAAGCATTTCCGCAGCAGCCACCACGAAAGAAGAGGGGGGAAGTCAGCAGCCCTGCGTGGGGGGAGGGAGCACACAGGGGCAGCAGGGAACAAGTAACCTGTATTACAGGGTCAGTGGAAGGGCGAAGGTGCATTTAGACTCTGCAGAACGTGCAGGTTATCAGCAGGACTGCTTAGGGCAGGAAGCGGTTTACCTTTAGCAGCATGGAGCACCCTAGAAGTAAAAAAGGCGGGGGGGGGGGCAGAGTCGGCACTCCTAGCTGACTGCTTTTCAACTTATCAATGTCTGATCTTGCTCACGGCTGCAGGATCTCCAGCACCAGGCTGGATAGGAGGGGCAGATTATAGAAGAAGCAATCTTCATTTTTCTCATGGCTCCTACAGGACATTCAGCAGCTACAGGAGGAGATTGCTTCTTCTATATGCTGCCCTGCCGCCCCTCCTATCCAGGTGTAGACAAATGTGACCAGGGAGCCACACGGGCCCCCTGCAGCATGGGGTCAGGTTGCAGTTGCGACTCCTGCAACCCCTATAATTACGCCACTGGCCCCACTCAAATTCTGAGTGAATTTTCTGCCAGAAACCTAGAATCTAGATTTCAACATGGCTGAACAGGGCTCTGCCCACATAGCTGTGTCATAAATGTCTGGGATCGCTGCCAGTGAATTACTACACATTCCATCTGCCACCGTGGTGGAGATTTACTAAAACTGGGGAGTGCAAAAATCTGGTGCAGCTGTGCATAGAAACCAATCCGCTTGCAGGTTTTATTGTCAAAGCTTAATTGAACAAGCCGAGTTTAGAAGCCGATTGGCTGCCATGCACAGCTGCACCAGATTATGAGAGCTCCAGTTGTAGTAAATCTTCCCCAGTGACTATGAAGAATTGCCCTGGTGATCTACCTCACCCCCTTTTAGTCCAAACGTGCTCCAACCCCTGCCATCCCGGACCTATAACAGCAGGTCTGTACCTCTATATAGTAGCTGAGGTTTGGGGTAAACTCTGAAAGAGCCACCGAAAGACTGACTGCGGGCACAATGTTCTGCAGGCTCCATTGCACAAAGTTAGTTAATGCACAATGATTATGAGATCAATGTTGCATGTACTAGTTTTTCAAAAAAGGGTAACTACCACTTGAAGGGTATGTCATAGAATGGATTATAAGTGGTATGACAGAGTAACACTTACAGGTATTTATTACCCCTTACAGAGGTAACCATACACCCCCGACAATACCTTCATCAGATTTTCTTTCCAGAAGGACAGAACCATCTTCATTCAGCCATCATCTACTTCATAGACTGAGATGCCAGCTCAGAGATGACACAATCATGTAAATGGGGCAGCACAGTGGCTAAGTGGTTAGTACTTTTGCCTTGCAGCACTAGGGCCCTTGGTTGGAGTCCTAACTATGGCACTTCCTGTACTGAGTTTGCATGTTCTCCCTGTGCTTGTGTGGGTTTCTTCCGAGTACTCCAGTTTCTTCCCACACTCCAAAAACATGCTGGAAGATTAACTGGCTCCTGTCTAAATTGGCCCTAAGCTATGTATCAATGAGAGTTAGGGACCTTAGATTGTAAGCTCCTTGAGGGCAGGGACTAGAGTGAATGTTCAATATACGCAAGGAACTGTGCAAATTGATGGCTCTATACAAGTACCTGTGAGAAGAATAATAAATACTGATGCCTGTGCAGTTCTTGGCTGTGTTCAAAAATGTCAGACTCAGATCAGCCCTTGCTGCATTCTCTCACCTTGTGACTTGTTACAAAGTTACAATATACAGTCTGATCACTGGGGGAGAGCACACTAAAGAAATGCTTCCTTCCGCTTGCAGCAGACGGAGGACATCTCAGGGAGCTCAAGGACTGTTTGAAGCTTTTAAAAAAAAAAAATTCATACCGTTGCTGTATAGTGACAGGTCAAGAATGTATTATTGTAGATGTTTATATTACTCTGATAGGTCCACTTTTAGAAAAACAGGTTGGTGAGCATACCAGTACCATTGAAAATTACCAGGAGGCCACTCCAGCCTTCCTTGTTATTGAGGTTCTATCCATTATGACCAGTTACACTGCCAAGTTCCTTCCGTAAAGGAAAGGTTTACCTTTGGGAGCATGTTACACCCTAAAAACAGGTGAAACGTGTAACATGTTTTCACTGTTGCAACCGCTGGTTCTCAATGAACTACCACAGGGCTGTTGAGCGCTGTGGTAGTTCATTGAATTTTCCTGTCAGACTGTATCTGCTTGCCCGTACAGATGTAGGGACACAGAGGTACACAGAGTTTGCAGGAGTCCTGCAAGGCACCAGCAATCATCTAAATCGCTGATGCAATGTTTTCCAGGCTCAAAAAAAAAAAAAAAAAAGGGCATTTATTGTATTTTTTTTCCAAAGGTGAACTTATCCTTTTGGATATATAGCTGGCCTGTCTTTTACTAAGCTGAGCAAAAGGCAGAACCCTCCAGCGGTTTTTATGCTAAATCTCCATAGCAACTAGATTTGAACTAGTGCCAGATACAAAAATAATAGGCAATTTGCGATTGGTTGTTAAAAGGAAGGACTTTTTTTTTTTTTTTTTTTTTTTGTGACTGTAACAAGTTAGGGACACTA